AGAACTCCCAGTGACATCGATTGTTGAATTCATACGCGACCTCTTACAAAGATGGTTCCACGAACGTAGAAGTTACTGGGCCACCCGAATGACATTGCATTCTTATTAAGTCGAACAGCGACTTAAATTTCAATTTGAGAAGTCCCGTCGGTACACAGTTAAACTAATTGACTAATGCAGGTTTCGTGTTCAGGACGGTGGATTGGATGGGATCGTTGATTTGAATGCATGAACATGTACATGCACGGAGTTCCAGTACCATGCACCCACGCTGTAGCTGCAGCACGACACAAGAACATAAATTCACATACGTTAGTAGATGCATGCTACAGTGTCGAGACACTTATTACAGCATACGCAGAACCAATATTATCAATGGCCACAAGTCAAAATGGAAACAACCGGAAGATTACCAACCTCAGACAATAGAACCACCGGGCTTCATTCCAGGAATGGGTCGACGAAGGATGGAAAGGATCCCTTCGGCAGGCGAATGCCGCCATGTAAACAAGTGCAGTCGATGCGGTACATCAGGTCACAACAGGCAAATATGTAATAACCCAATTAGCACAACACGCCCGTCTGCCTAGAGGAGAAGGAGGTACTATCATACCTCTGCTTCTGAAAAATGTAATATTCTGCCTTGTTTCTCGATAATGTACCTCGCTCTCACTCAAGTTAAATTGACATTGTATAATTCATTCTCCCTCCGACTCTGTCTCGATCTCACCATGTTCTCGCTCTACATTGTATCTCGCTCTGAATTGGTCTCGTTCCCGTTCTTACTCGCTGAAACAGTCTCTCGATCTAACTCAGTCTCAATATCGATTGTACTCGCCAAAACGGTATTTCTCGCCCACTCTGTCTCGATCTCGATGTACTCGCTAAAACGATATCTCGATCTGGCTCTGTCTCGCTCTCGATCTGGAAAAATGTAATATTCTACCTTGTTTCTCGATAATGTATCTCGTTCTCGCTCAAGCTAAATTCACATTGTGTAATTCATTATCCCTCTAGCTCTGTCTCGATCTCGCCATTATTTCGCTAAAACGGTATCTTGATCTCGATCTGTCTCGCTCTTTATCTGGATGCACTACTCTCGGTCGGTCTCGCTCTCGCTCTCATTGTGATCCTCTCCATGGCCTGTAGAACAATGCCTTGATAAAGAAAACAAATAAATGTAATGATTGCGACAGAAACGAAAAATGTGACTATGCAATTCCCAATGCATTGTGATTTATTAATAAATAAATAAATAAATAATCCACCTACCCAACCATTGTGACCCTTCAACTTCTCCTAACATGCATCAAATCAGGGGTTGTGACACTTCAATTCCAAACCTCTATATAATATGATGTTCATGCAGGCATTGTTTCCCTTCTTACTTGGACGATCTCTCAGTGATCGAAAGCAAACAATGTCGTCCGATGAAGCAACCAGTCCTGTGGTGAATCAAGTATCTTCGATGGCAGAAAACAATCTCCAAGATGCTACGGATGCTGCTATTCGAGAAGCACATGAAGAGATACAATCATTGAAGAGAAAACTTCGTACAACCCGGCATGAACTAAACAACAAGAAGTTGAGGTTACAACAAACTGAATGAGCGCGGGATATACTCAACAGACTCTTCAACGAAGCACGCTCCATGAGACTCCGCCTAGAAGACAGAATAGCTGAGTTGGAGTCCCGTGATGTTTGATCCATCGCCGATGAATTGCTCTAACATCATTCAGTGCTTTTTTGTAACAACTTTTACAATATCATATATATATATACACTTACATATATATGCAGTCAGTAATTTTTGTTGTTTTTATGTAATAAAATGGAAAGATATAACCTAAACTGTGTCTGCCTACACTCTCACTCTCGCTAGTCAGTTTTCTCGCTATCTTTCATTCTCGCATCTCTCGCTCTTATTTTTTTCATTGCTTATTCTCGAACTAGCTGTTCTCGCTATATTTCATTCTCGCATCTCTCGCTCTCACTTTTTTCATCGCTTATTATCGATCTTGCTCTCGCTAGTCAGTGTTCTCGCTATCTTTCATTCTCGCATCTCTCGCTCTCACTTTTTTCATCGCTTATCCTTGATCTCGCTCTCGCTAATCAGTGTTCTCGCTATCTTTCATTCTTGCACCTCTCGCTCTCACTTTTTCATCGCTTATTCTCGATCTCTTTCTCGCTTTCTAGTTCTCGTTCTTTTTACTCTTCTTTCTCAATTTCACATGCCCTCGGTTATCACGCCCGGTCCGTCTGCCTTCCCTTGGCCGTGCCATATACATGCATGTGGGAGTGGATTGTTTCGAAACTACCATCTAATAAATGTCGCTTTTAATGAGGGAGATTACCAAACAAACAACATTGATTAAATTTCTCCTAATTTCAAGTGTTTTCCAATTCTATATAAAGAAAACTTGTGCATCATACTTCTTCCATTCTAGTCTACTCATTACAACGTATGCGAAAATGTCTTACGAGGTTACTAGTGCATTACGACCAGAACCAAAAAGGGAAAGCCCTTATGAAGATACAACGAAGGCGGAGTTAGAAGATGAGTGGAAACGTCATTGCAAGAACAGACAACTCTTATACTGAGCGCAGTCTCACCTGCAGAGAAGAGATTCTCGAATTAAGTATCTCGAACTGGTTTTAGAGGAAGAGAGGGAACATGTAGACCAGTGCGAGGAGGATAAGCGAAAAGTGCAGTTGCAATATTAGAGTCATGCTTGAGAGCATTGGGGGCATTGTCGCCGTAGGTTTGCTGTATTTCATAGTTTTTTGGGTTTCATTACATTACGGATATTATTTTCTTCTTATTTTGGTGTTGACGAATCATGTTCTTTGCATGTGTTCAATGATGGATTTCAAACAGAAAAGTATGATATCGATGTCTAATTGGAAAACTTCAAACAGAAAGACCAACAGACATGCATGACTGTAAAGATATAATCAAACAAAAAACTAATTTAAAAAATACAATGAGTGACACCGAATTGTTGCTCGATTAAATGTCTCACTCTTCGTGTCTCTCGCTCTCGCTATAATTTTACATCGCTCTCGCTCTAGCTCACTACATCTTTTCCTCGCCTTGTTCACTACGTATTTTCCTCGCTCTCACTCAATACATATTTTCCTCGCTCTCGCTCACTATATATTTTCATCGCTCTCGATCTCACTATATTATTCACTCACTCTCACTCACTATATGTTCACCAGCTCTCGCTCAATCTTACTCTCTATAAACCCTTCAAAGGCCTTGCCAGCTCTCGCTCCCACTCAACATTGGCCTCTCCCTCGCTTGCCACTGCAATTTTTCTCCATCTCGAGCTCCCATTATCTAGCTCAACCTCTCTTCTTCTCGCTTCGCACCTGCTCTATTTCACCAACAACGAATTCAAACCTACTTTAGCAACCACGCATAATGAATAGATGACAACAGATGATGAAACCCAATATAACGAACAAAGAATAACAGATGAAATCGAAGCAAGATATCTAACCCATATCTAATCGTAAACAGAGAGGTAGGAGAAGTATCAAAGTTTAGGCACGACTGAGTGTTGATGGGATTGGGTTTTTGCAAAAGATGATTAAAACGGAGAGACAGGGATTTTGGGCAGAAAGACAGGATGGAAGGGAAAAGTTAAAAATAGACAGGCAGGCAGAAAGACAGCATGGGAGGGAAAAAAATATAAAAAGATGGAAAGGAAGGGCATGGACGAACATTTGACAATATTGCTAACATCAGCAAACGATTAGAAAACATATGTTTAGAAAAAAAAGTGGGTAAAAAACAATACTGCCTTGGAAAAAGGGCTATTCATCCCAGAACCCCATATCAAAACCATACTATATGAGCAAAATCAAATGAACACAATCAAAGCAAAGTCACACAAAAGTAATAAAAGAGACTCGAGGCCAAAAACGGACATCGAAAGATTTGTTTCGTTATGTTCCCGTTTCACGTTTACAATTTTATTAATAAATCTAAGCATTTTACAACAATTTATGTTTCTTGTTTCTACTGTTTTAGAAACATTCTCCAAATTGTATAAAAATTTTAGAAACAACAAAGTTTTCTCTTTACTGTTGGGTTTGGGTTTGTAAGGTGATTGCAAACAAATCCCACATTGGCTAGGGAAGGGAATGATCATGGGTATATAAGAGATGACATTTATCTCCATTGATATGAGCCCTTTTGGGTGAAACCAAAAGCAGAGCGTGAGGGCTATGCCCAAAGCGGACAAAGGGTTTGTGATATCTGATCGATAGAAGTATATTATTGTGATTGTGTCATCTAGAAAGAGGGAATCGAGTGATTCTCTAAACTCTCGCTTGAGGTTTCCTAATTTTGGCTGGAAGTTCTAAGAATCTGGCCGTAGAAAAATAACATCCACCAAATCAGACGAAAAATATGAGTCGGTATAGATTTTGGGTTTCTGGTTACTTTTCGCCAATTTTCCCCACCTATGATCCACGATCTGCAGCGGTTTCCCTTCCCCCACACCGGCATCCCAGTGACAGTGACAACCATTCATGAACGACGATGCGAACTCGGATCTGACCTAGGACCTCTGATCCAACAGCAGTGAGTGACAGTGTCACTTCCCTTATCGTGGTGATGGCCAGATCTGGTAGCTTGTTGTGGATCTACAACAACTCAAAAAAAATTTTCCAGTCGTTGCTTGTTGTTAGAGAAGGTAGTCGAGAGAGTGGCGTGGTATGATGAAGAAGAAAAAAGAGGGAGAGACCAATGATGTATATATCTATACATATTATAAAATTATGTATATATACTAGTATACATTATATAACACATTGGGGTATATATTATCATATAGTAAGTTCAATAAAAGATTATATATTATATAACATTTTGCAGGATGTATGTCTATCATGCTGTTTATTACAAGATTAAAGTGCATTATACAATGACTAATCTAGTATATATTATATAACTTTTTAAGAGGAGTAAATTCATCATTCTATTGAAAAAAAAAAGCTACAAAAATAAAAACATGGTGGAAAAAAATAATGAAAGGAAGAAGATAATTAAAATATATAAAGAATATTTTAGAGGAGTATATGTTTATTATACTATTAAAAAAAGATGTTGAAAAAAAAAACCGTCGGAAAAGAAAAGACAAAAAAATTGCTAGTAAAAGAAAAAAAATGCAATGGCAGTTATCAAAAATAGAGAGTTGGAGAATTTTTGTAATAAATGAAAGGATTTATAAATTACTACTCATCGGAAGTTATTTAGGAAAAATGGAAAATATCTTGATATTTAAAATAGGTGATTTGAATCACATTAAATATAATTATTCAAATACAAAATAAAATCATATTAAATTAATTAATATCAATTAAGGACAATTTAAAAAAAATTATAATTTAAATCGAAAATCTAGATTTGTAAATATTTAACATAATTTTATTACTTTTTTTAGACTTTGGACAAAACGAGAGTGAAACCTATAAAATTCATCTAATTGGTTAAGTTATGACTAGTAGTCTCAAATGAAGGCTCCATCACTATCCTCCTCAATCGGCACCAAAACAAGATATCAAATGTTTTTCATAGTGGAAAAGGAAATAATCAAATATAATATCAAAGTAAAAGCTATTTAGCTGCTGGGCTTAAAAGTTTTTTTTTTTTGGTGTAAATATATAGAATAGTAATAGGTTTTTATTCACTAAGAACTTATTGAATGTATTTGAGCATCATATAATTAGGCTAAACTATTCAAAAGTTTTAATCCTACTCTTGATATTTCTTAAGTATTTAAAAAACTACCATTTCAACAAACATCCACTAATATTTTGAATGAAAAATTTGACGTGAAATTTGATCTTTAATGAGTATAAAAAAAAAAATTACTAGTAGAAACAATGACCAGCCCACAATTGACCAAATTAATGGTCAAATTTGTGCCAATTAATTGTTACATGCAGCTTTCATTAATTTTCATGTCGTTTCGCCAAAGCGAGCATAGGTCAGCAGTAATTGGTATATACCTCAAACCAAGAGATTCTGAGTTCGAATCCCCTCCCCAACATGTTGTTCTATCCCCAACATGTTGTACTAAAAAAAAATTTGTCATGTCATTTCATATTCGGTCATGTTAAATTTTTGTTTAAAATATTAATAATGGATATTTGTTAAAAGATTTTTTTTATTAAAATATTTATAAAAGGTCAGAAGAGTGTTATAATTTTGAAAGGATAAAGAGTATTTTTGAAACAAATAGTAAAATTCAAGAGTTTTCTTTATTTTTTTCTTTATTTATTTATTTATTTTTTGTAATTTAGCCTATTAATTATTTAGGTTACAAATTTGAAAACTTTTCTAGAATAATATTTGTTATATCTGACCCATCACCAGTTCCCACCAACTAAAGGCCACCATATCTTATCCAAATCTATTTTCCTCCCTTAACCTATAGTTTCCTTGTTGGTGGGATCCTTCCTTGTAAGAGTTTATCCCTTTCTTTTTCTTATAACAAAAAAAAAAAAAAAGTTATTAAATGCAACCATAGCATGAAAATTTTGTAATATCAACATATTGCACAATCCTTTAAATAAAATAATAAAATTGAATATGATTAATGGTATATTTGGGAGTGATTGTATGTATACCAAGTAAATTTGAAAAAAGAGATTTACGTATAATTGAATTTTCAAAATCATCCTCCAAGTGATACCTTAAAATTTAATTTAAAGTGATTTTAGACTTTTTAAAAATCAATTTTTTAATTTGCTAGTGAAGTGATGTTGACTTACAAAAGTGATTTGGGCATGTTTGGTCATGCCAAAATCATCTCTCAAACATATCTTAAATATACTATGGTATTGCCTCAAGAAGCGGTTCAGTTGGCAAGGACTTGAGATCTCTTGGTCATACTGGCTCAGAGGTCTCAACTTTAAATCTTCCGATGAACTTAATACTAAAAACCCTTTATGTCTCCTAGATCCGAACCTTGGAACGGATGCAGGTGGTCCTAAGTATTTGAGAGTGAAACTCCCACTCTCCATTATTAAAAAAAAAAGTAATAATAAGAAATATGCTATGGCCAATAATACAGGGTATGTCTTTCTTAAAAAGAAAAATGGTACATATCACATTTAATTTAAAAAAGGGTAAAAAAAAAAAAGAAAGATACATATCAAATCATTCTAACAAACTGATTGACAGGGCAACTACTTGAAAAACAGGAAATAAAAAAAATAAAAAAATAAAACAATATGCAAATTCCAATACTTCATTGGATTTAGAAGCAAATGATGATTTTGCAAAAAAAATTAAATAATAATAATAATAATAAGAAAGAAAGAAAATGAAACCTAAATAATGGAGACTAAAAATGCATCTGATTTTAGCTTTAACTAAATCTTTTTATAAGTTAAATTCCAAAAGATCCACTTTTTATATAGAGCATCCAACTAAACTACATCCATTATTCATTTATTTTATAGTGATAAGAATGGACAATTCTTCCAAACTTTAACATGACTTATTTCAGGGTAAAAAGTGAACTGCCCAATCAAAGAGACTCAACCATGGTTTCAAATTCCTAAAGGCCAACTAAACAACTAAACCTTCCTACCAGTCGGAGGTTCAAATTCTCACAACCATACTTTTTTATACTTAAAAACAATGGTGAGTTCTCGCAGAAAGAGAATAGAGAGGTGACTACTGTGGCAGATGAAAATTTCAAATGACAAAAAACAAGGTTATCTTTATCTAATTCCGAAAACAGACCACACAATATGAAATTTTAAAAGGACATCCTTAACATTACAATTATTATCAATAATAGGACTTATTCTATAAATTATAGTCTTCAATGTTTTCAAAGCCTAATTTTTTTTTTTTAATTATCTCGGAGTCGGTGGCCCTTTGGCCTTTATGTCCCATACCTGAGGGGAACGTACACTGTCCCCATACCTGTACATTCGTAAGAGGTCATTGTTTGGTTGGAATTACATTCCATGTGGCTTGAATCTAAGACCTCAAGGATGCTCCTTGAGGTCCCAAGCCACTCAAGCTATCTCTTGGAGACAAAGTCTAAGTAATAAATAGAATTGTCACACAGCATTCCGTACACAAAGAAATCTTTATATTTCTGAAAAATATGACGAAATAATGGTATTCTTCTAATTATTACAAGAGAGGTAAAGTTCCACGCCTCAGTGCATTTTCAAGTGCATTTTCATGGACACGTAAGTCACTTATGGTCCAAAGGAAGTGCAAATCTCGAGACTAAAAGTTAGAGTCTTGTCCCAAGGAATAAGTGTCAAAAGCTTTGTAAAACACTGAGATATTAAGAATGAAAATGGAAACCAAAAAACAAGGAGATTTTGTAGCAACATGGAAGAGAACAGAATAATTGTAGGAACCAAAAGCAAAAAGACGAGAGAATATTTCATAGGGCAAAATATCTGAAGTGATATCACCTTGTGCACACAATTTTTCTATTTTTTTCCCCTCTAAAAATTCATCTTCTGATCTCTATTCCTTTGATCCAGTAGGTAAAAGTGCAATAGGCCATAGCTTAAAGAATACATCCTAAGTTCAAACACTCCGTATCCAATTTTGCCTTTATCCAATAAAAAGAAAACAAGAACTTTAGTTTTTTATGTGTTTCAAAACAAAACAAAAAAATTTGACCGTGGAAGTCCAATCGTATACTGTCATACTGTTACATACCGATGAGATCGATATATATCTATATAGACGGAGATATATATATATATATATATATATATATAAAAGAATGCTATTAGGGAAAAAATTAGAAATATTAACTACTCAAAAAAAAGAAAAAAAAATAGAAATATTATTCGGATATTAAGGATAAATTAATAATTGATTAGGGGAGTAAAAATTGTTATAAATAGAGTCAATGAAAAAGGATTGAAGTAAGCTATTGTCCAATATAGTTTATGCTTATGCTTGAGTAAGAATACTTAAGAGAGGAGGGTCAAGATACCTCGAATTACTTAGGAGTTACTACAGTTTTTCTATCTTCTATATCTTAATATATGTCTAGTTGTTTGGGTCCTACTTATGGATATTAGAGCAGTCTGGTTATGGTCAAAAGTTGAAATTAGATGATGAAAGGTTGATGATTCATGACGGAGGTTGGATTTCTACAGAGAGATCGATGATTGCGGTCAATTATGTGGAAGGTGAAGACTCGGAGGAGACGCAATATTCGTGAGGAGGCGGTTAGTTACGAAGGAGAATGAGAGGAAAGGAAACAACGTGGGAGAAGAAAAAAATAAACCCTAGTCACATGAAGTGTCAGGAAATAGGGCCATGGGTTTGGGAAATGTACAGCCTTAACACTGGGCTAGATTTTGATTAACGTAACTCTGTTGAGGCCCATTTCCTCCCCTAAGCAGATATTGAAATGGTGGGAGGATTATGGGTTCGGGTGTCAAGGCTAGGTTTTCTAATTGTGGGTGACAGTAAAAAAAATATATAATATATTAGTAATCAGCTGAAAGCATCAAAGTAGTAAGCCCATCCAGTCAGCTGAAAGCATCAAAGTAGTAAGCCCATCCCAAGACGAGTGCCCTCCTATTCCAACTTCCCTAGAGCCTTCGGTAGGAGAAGATTACTGGGCCACTCTCCGCAAGTTCACTCCGATTGAGCTGACGACAGCCATACAACACCTATATGAAACTTAATACCATCCCATTAAGGACATGTTTTGTTGTTCATATGTCAAGAGCTGGTAAGGTTTTGCACGTTGTATCGAATTAAACCACATGCTCCACCGCTTGGGCAGGCCCCCGTCAATTACTTTTAGTTTAGGAGGATTTGTCTCAAATAGAGTAGCTCGAGAGATGGGAGTGTCCAAGTAGAATTACTTTGGAGTTATTGTAGTTCAATCTCATTTGTTTGGCTCCTATCATATATTCACTACATAAACGTAATGTTAGTATAATATTACCCGCATAGTGTCCCACACAACTCATATTAATTCCAATGAATTCAATCTGAAATGAAATAATAGAAAGAAAACTCTTTACAAGAATACAAACTCCTAAACTTCACATTCTCGTCCGATTATCCATACCCAAGAATATGGTACAAGTATAACATACTTAATTCCTCAATAATCCTAAACCACTTAAGCATGTTTGTCAGATTAGAGCCATAGAAACTATCCAGAAGGCCAAATAAATCTATGGTAAATGTTTTTGGGGAGGATACACAACTTTATGAATAAATCTCCTCATGCTAGGGCTAGTAAACAGGTTAAGATGTTCCAACTCAGTACCGTAGATTGAATCTCTCTACAAATATACATGTAACGTATTGTTGAGATGTAAATAAACTATAAACAAATAAGAGTAACATCTAGCTGAACAATTTTCCAATAATGCAATTGAAAATGTTACAGCAGCAAAAGAGTAGTTAATCCACCTGTACTTGTTACAGGGTGCAGATATTTCATAAACGGATGTCAACTCCCAAAGATCCCATTGTCATCACTCGCATGTTAAAGCTTTGTTCAGAGCATCAAAAACAGTTTGCAAACTTACCTCCTCGACAATCACAACCTTGTCCCTTGATTTAGAACCAGAACCTATTGATACTTGTCTCCTTTTGACACCTAAAACCTGCGAGATAAACATAAGTGTTAGAGAGGAGCAGTTATTACACAAAAAGGATGAATGCATTTACTCTATCGCAGCTAACTTCTTTGTGGAGGGAAAGAATGTTGAAAGAAAAGACCCTACCAACATTCAAGTATTACAAGAAACAAAAATAAAAATGGTTAAATTACCACTCTAATTTCTATGATTTCAGCTTGATTTCAATTTAATTTTTATAGTTTTAAAAGTTTCAGTATAGTCCGTCTCAAGCGTCTCTATCCTTGCCATATATTTTCTAGTTGAACTTGGCAAAGAGAGAGAACCGATGAGCTGGTCGAAATTAATGTTTGATTGGGTAAAAAAAAATAGAGAAAATTGAGCAGGCTTCAGATCAAGAGAGAACGAATTATACAAGAAACTGGAGAATTCTAGTCTCACATCTTAAAAATCTCCAATCCCCAAAAACTATGCTTTTCCTACACAATAACCCGTTTCCCCGTTTTCTAAAAACCCACTTGACTTCCTCTACTTTTTATCGCACTCAAATTCTAATACAATCAGTTAATTTAACTTTCACACTTGTACCGAATGCCCCCTCATTGCCTCTCTCTTCTACATTTAGTGAAAAAACAAGGGACAAATGATAATTTATCCAAATCAAACAGTCACAGGCAGCGTTAAAAGAGGACAAATGATAGAGGTTTCTACGCAGCTGCTGCTGGTACCAGAATATCAGGTATCTGGGGGGCTGAGAGTGCCTAGTAGTTGCAAAAACAACAATCGGGTCCTTGAACAAGGAGCAACAGAAAGGTTTGTAAACATAAATTCAATTTAATTAAACAAGTTACGGGTAATTAGAATGGAGAAATGAGACAAGAAGTTAATAAAGAAGGAAACTGAAAACTACATTTGAACTTCGTCCAACTTTTCTATTACTGGGAAACATATGGCCACTTGAAGTTCTTGACGACCCAAGAAGATGGTAGATACAACTCTGCAATTAAGGGTGTGTTTGGGAGTGATGGTAGAATTAGTGATTTTGAAAAAAAAAAGAAGTATAATTGATTTTCCAAAATCACCATCCATATGGTGACTTTAAATTGATTTTAAATTATTGTAAGCTTTCCTAAAATCAATTTTTGACTTTGATCAATGGAAAGGGAAATGGAAAGGGAGGTGATTTTGGAGAAAAGTGATCGCTCCCAAATACACCGTAAGTAGACAGAAGACTTCAACACCTAAAAACAACTGGAATTACAGCCCTCAAACACAAACAGGTGACGGATTTTCAACAAATTAAGAGCAGGGAATATAACTAGTTTGGAACACCAAATAGGGCAAAATAATTCCAAATTTTCGGAACTTCACAAGGAATCCCAATATTAAACCTTACTCTTTCAGTTATACAATTGCAATTACATCTGATGCTAGATTGTAACACCTCGAATAACACGTACAAGCAATGAATCAATCTCAGTTCTAGTAAAATTGATGAAATCAGCACTGAAAACTCAAGTACTACGAATGAAAAATAGTGTTTCAAATTCAAATAATAAGCAGCAAAGAACGCAAAACTCACTGTGCTGATGTAATCAAGAAGTGCAGCATTAGCTTCTCCATCTTTCGCCGGCGCGTCGATTTGCACTCCCAACGCATCGTCGCCGAAGTCTGCAAGGATTTCCAGAAACTTACGATCGCAATTTCATAAATGGAGAAGATTCAGAGTGAGAAAGACCTGTGATAGAGGCGATTTTGGAGCCAGGCTTGGCGTGGATGGTGATAGCGACGGAAGAAGGAGCAACAGAGCGAAGACAAGAGGGGAATTTGTTGGATTGAATTGATTCAGTAGCTTTCGGAGCCTTCGTTTTCCCCTTCTTCGCCGGAGGCATTTTCTTTGGCTTTAATTTTGATTATTTTCCTCCAAACCGAACGGGCTTTTGCGAAAAAAAGGTGAGAGTTTTGAACAACTCATATTTAAAAGAAGGCTAAATAGTCCATTTCTCAATTTAGTTTTAATTGTTTAACAAGTTTAAATTTAGACTCACGTTATGTCGCGTTACATATATAAACTATGTCACACTAGTAAACAGATAATAACGTAACCAACCAAGTAAAATTAATAATAGATACCAATAGTAATCTAAATAAAGCAATAGAGCAGATAGTCTATAGGTTGAACCATAAGAGAAATAATTAGAAGTTGATGCGAACGTAAATAATTAGAATGATAGCAGCAACAACAAACAAATTGAAATTGATGGAAGATAGTCGTTTCAAAAGCGTTGACCTAAAGATAGTTGTTTTAGATTATTAGTAAACTATATCGATCGTCTTAGTATGATACAACGACTAGTTCTAATAGAACAACAACCTTGAACAACTCAGATCTGGCATAACTGTTAGACACTTGCTCTCAACGTAAACACGAAAAAAAAATAAAGAGAGAATTCTTGCCAGGAGAGGACAAACTCGAATTTGGATCGAAGTATTTGGGATACTTCTTATAATACCTCAACTGAAGTGAATGTATATATGAGAATTGTTGATAGCGAATTTCAGAGAGGTCCATGTGTCCCCTGAACGAGCAGATTCACCAAAGAGCAAATGAGTCTGCAACTAGAAAACTCGACGTCGGTGTGGTGTCCCGCCTCATTCACTCTGACGCCCACGTTAGAAATCTAAATAAAAAAAAATAGAAGTAGACACCTTTAGGGTTTGAGTGACAGGTTTTTCACTTACTTGGCAAAGGTGGGAGTCCTTCCCTTTTATAGATGTGGGTGGCTAACTAGGAAGGACGATACTTGAGGTGGTAGGGGCACGATTTGCTGTACGAGGCTCTGGTGGGGGGACCGCCCTTGACAATCAATGGATGGTGCCTTCACTTACAGACCCTCAGCATGCAGTCTGCGAGCGTCAAGTCGTAGTGCTCGGCGTTCTCGTCGTACATCAATGGTGGCGATGCACTCGCCTGCGCGTAATGTTACGGTGTATACCGTCTATGGTCCCTTGCCTTGCTATCATCTCCGAAATTCTACCTGTGTCTTGCTCGGCTTTTCCCTCTACAGTTAGCCCTCTTTCGGGGTCAGATTACTCTGTCTAGAGAGGCGGGGCCCGAAAGTGTTAAAGTGGAGTAAAGTGCGTGTGGGTCGCGCGGCAATGCACTTGGTGAAGATATCTTCTCGTATCAGGAGGTGGGGCCCACGTCAGTCAAGAGGCGTGATGGTAAGGTGTTCGTTCGTAAGATCGCATTTATTAGGGGACACGTGTCCGTCTCCGTTTTGCGAGCCGTTGCGTCTCTTATGCCTTGATCGAAGCGGAGAGTCGGTGGTAGTCATTTGAAATGTCGTTGGGATTTGAAACGGCTGTTGTGGAGGCTTTAGATATCCCTGCGGGGGGTGGTGAAGCCCAACTTGGTTGCTTTGGATTCTAGTATTGCGATTACTTTACGTTTCATCCCGACCATGGCGGCTCGAAGGAACGCTCATTTCCTTGGCAACCGCCCTTCTGTGGCTCACGTTCCGTCACTTGCGACGGAGCAAGAACTACTAGATATCCATCCATCCCATCGCATTCTTTACTGCGTCCTCATGCATGATCTACCGGCGGAGGACGAAAGGATCGACTCCCCTCCCCTAGGTGGGTGAGTTTCTATCCCCAAATGTTCGCCAATGGGGTAAGGCTAATGCTTTCACTCTTTGCCTAGTCCTTCTTTTCCTTAGCCCTGGTTGCCCTAGCACCACTCGCCCCCAACGCTTGGGGAATGATGATAGCATTGGGCATCATGTGGCAAGAACTTGGCGACGGGGAATAGATGTCTTTGGGCTTATTGACCACCCTGACGATGTTAAAGACGATCTTCAGCTTTTTGGGGTTCTATAGCCTAAACTCCCATCATTACATAATCTTCAAACCACCTACATCAAACAAACACTGATCATTGGTTGTTTGTCAGTGGTTGAAAGGTGGCGAGCCAATTTGCAACCAGGTGCTCAGCTACTTTGGGGATAATGGTGAGTATTCGACTTCTCAAATGGCAGTATGCACCGAGGAGACTATCTCCCCAATGGAGGATGACACCGAGCCATCTTTGAGTAACATACTCTCTTCCGATTCTCTTCCCGTGAAGAGAAAGGATGGTATGGAAGATCGGATCCCGGTCCAGGCTCTTGGTGGTGTGGGGGATTCTGACGGAGAAGAAGGGAGGCTAAGGTGGGACGCTACAGCCGGATGTGGTCACGCTTCCGTGATCGAAGTTCCCAACAATCCCCCTGTCGGCTTTTTCACGGTTCACGTTGAGGAGGCCCTACAATTTGACGCGTCGTCTCTACGATCGAAAGGGTCAGTACGGATGGCTTCCACTCCTGCTTCAACCTCCCCACTAAGCCTTCCCCCCTCAATCCATACCATTTCATGGGAGACGTCTAGGAGTCGATTGAGGTCATAGCTAGGGACTTTTCATCCACGAGCAGGTCTTGGGTACCTTAAGTATGCGAAACGAGTGTCTAGACGAGGTTCTAAGCAGTTACAATGAGTTTTGTTCCTCTCTACCTTCCTCGTCTCTTTTGGTTTTAGCCTGACACCTTTCTTGAGTTGTTCTTTTTAGCTAGCTGGGTGCTTCCATGCCTTGTCGTTTGCCTTCCAGGATGAGTTGGACGCGGAGAGATCGAGTGGAACAGGGCCGGCAAGCTAAACTTCAATGCCTTCGCGACCAAATAAGGGATACTGGCCTCTCTACCATGATGCATGTTGAGGCTGAGCAGCTTCGGGCTGAAAGGGTAGCTGCTCAAGAATATGCTTCAATGGAAGAAGAGAGAGAGACCCTTCAT